GAAGAGCGCCAATTCACTGGGCCGCATCGAAGGGAAACACGGAGATCATCGAGATGTTGATACAAGCAAAATGCGACATCGAGGCGAGAGACAAGGTAATATCGCACCCAAAACGGTACTATCGAAACATTTATTTTAATTAAACGAACACGAACGGAATCAGTTAATCGACGGGAATAAATGTACGAATGATATTTCGACTGACTGTTCCCGAGATATTCGCCATTCCGACCTGAGGGTAATTATTTTTAAATTTCCACGCCACTTGGCATTTTTCGTATCCACCATCGGGCAGAATTTCGGTATTAATTATACCGAAAACGCGAATAAACCGGTGGCTCGTGTGCGTGAAAATTTGATATAAATGTAACATAATGTAATTAATTGCATTTGCCACGTTTCAAGTTCGGCATGCGTCCGTTACACATGGCTGCGCGTTACGGACACAGGGACGCCGTGAAAATGTTAATCAACGCCGGGGCAAACGTGTCAGCGGTAAACAAGGTATATCTATAATTATATCGATCAATTGGTGACCCATTGCTAAATAAAGACACCAATCGAATCAATTTCAAGCCTTTCGGACCAAGCGAAACTTGCCGGAAAAAGAATTCCAGTTATGGTAGAGAACAGGCGGACAATTTCAAGCATCGTGCTCGTATAGAATCGCGAAATCGAGTCACGATTCCTTCTCAGATTCTTTCTCGCGATTGAAGCCCGCCTCGAACGTGCTCTTACCTTCGAGGAAAAGTCATCGCGACTGTGGGAAATTCTCGATGAAGACGTTCGAAATTATTTGTAAAGGACGTCTCCTTTCCAGACGTGTCCTACTTCGTTTGGTCCAACGACAATGGTGTCTCTTAAAAGATTTACATGCCGGCGTTGCAACCAGGCCAACGCTGCAACGATATTCATTGGAAAAGCGATACACGTAACCGTCGGTTCTATTTGTCACAGAAACAACATACTCTCTTAATGTGTGCTGCTCAAGGCAACAACGTTCGCGTTGTGGAATACCTCGCGGAGGCTGTGGAATTGCTGAACGGAGATGCAACCGACATCACCGGTGCAACTGCACTTCATCATGCAGCCAGCGCTGGTCACCCGACTATGATAACCGCACTTTCCAATGTGCCCAGGATCGAAATCAATGCGACGGATAAAGTAAGAAATACGACATTTCCTTGTTTGATCGATGACGCGATATTTCACAATTACTGTACCCCACTTTCTCTATCATATATCAGGCATTTATGCTCCTTTATTCGAATAAATAAATAAATAAATAAATAAATAAATGCACGAATAATTTGAATACAGATGAATTTAAGTCGAGGAAATTTTCTAAGGAAATGGTTACTCGTATTTAAAAAATATTCGAAATTTTTCGTACTTTTCGTTATTTTTCGTTACTTAGAGTCCCTTTAAATTTTGCGAATAGAGAGGATAAC